AGAGAGAGAGAGAGAGAGAGAGAGAGAGAGAGAGAGAGAGAGAGAGAGAGAGAGAGATCTACATGCCATAAAAATGTCATTTCTCACATCCTGCTGCAGTGTATTCATTAAAAACATTACTTGGAGCTTTCCCCATGTTATTCCATTCCCACCTGGCATAATTTTACTCTGGTGGCATATCCGATTAAAAACAACCACAATAAACAAGAATGCATGCAGATTACTCACCATAAACAATTATCCCCCCCTCTTTTTCTCTCTCTTCCCACCCAGCTTTTCAGGAGACTGATAAATTACAATTGCTGATATCTTTATCTCATTCATTCCAAGAAAGTAGGAAACACACAACAGAGTGGTCAAAGACCAAATAGGAAAAAGGGGAAAAAAAGGGGGAAAAAAAAGGACAACCACCTACTTTCTTCCATTGCTACAATGGTTATATTATGCCATGTGCTCGTTTCTCTGTCCAGTGGTGTGGCCAAGGTTATCTTTCCATCTTGGGTATTAATGTTGAATTGTCTCTCAAGGTCAGTGTTCCGATCGATGGAAAACCTAGGAAATAAAGATCCTTATTAAATTATTCGCTTAAATACTTTTGCCTGATCTGAATAGCGCTGCTCTCGTACACTGACAAAGCCATGTTTGGCTGAATAGCAGCTTTGTAGCCTCCGTGGATTCACTGAGCTCAATAATGGTATAATTCATAAGGCCCAATAAAACAAACAAACAAACAAACAAACAAGGAGTGAGGATCAGGAAGCAGAATTACAGTCCACGGAGTAATTAGCTATATGCTCTCAGCGTGAAGGTTAGAAGCCGTCACTAAGATCAGTTGATAGCAGTCTTTTAAAAACTACTGCGGAATCAAGAGTTAATTAGATGATCCATCACTTTTATTGGACAGGTCCTGTTGTATTTCATCGCCACTGCTGATAATTCTGTCAATACAATAAGGGGGAAGGTTGTTTTGTACATGTCTGTGTGTTTTAAAGATGCAGCAAGCACTCCAACAAAAAAAACCGGCTTTACGGTAATTAGGTAAATATGTCATCTCTTTATGCTGTAAACCAATTCTGAAGACAATAGCTTTAAAAAAAACAACAC